GTCGAGACCGCCCGGCACGACAGCTGGGCCCTGACAAAGATGTGGCAGCACGCTCGCCGCCACATCGACTGGCTCCAGGAGGACTCCCAGGCCCGGGCGGAGGCCTGGGACAGGACTTGGGGCCTGGGCCGAATGCCCCGCCGGCGTGGGAACGGCCCAATTTCGTACGCCGAGCACGCGCCCGGGATCCATCGGCGGGACCCATACTACCTGGCACGCCTGGGGCCCTGGTCGAGGGTGATCCGCCCTGCCAGCCCCCACCTCGACGACGGGATCGCGGACTGCGGTCGCCGCGTCGAACAGCGCCGCCGGGCCTTATGTACTGGGCCCCGCCCCCCGCCGAGCAGGGCGGGCTTCCTTGGAGGTGGTGCGTGGTCTGCTGGTGCGGCCGCAACCTCAGCCGAGCCGGGTCGACGACGAGGTGGTCAGCGAGCTGGAGTGACGCCGGGCCGCGTCGCCGGGCGGCCGGCAAAGACCCTTGGCCCGACCGGGCCGATCTTCCTAGAAGCCAGGGGAGCTAAAAAGGAGTGCCTTGGTTGTCGCCTTCGGCTGTCAGGGCTACCTTGCGACTGGGTCGCAGCTGCCTGCCCTTAGACTGGTCATGGCCGCGCCGTCGTCTTCGACCGCCGCCCTCGTCGACTTCCGCACCTTGGCGGCCGAGTCTGGAGCGGGGGACGTCGTGGTGAGATACGTGGGGGCTCGAGGCCTGGCCCGCACGGCCACCCTCGCCCTGGTGGAGCCAAACCCGACGAGGTTCGAGGCCACCGTGGTTGACCCGCTCCTGGCTGGCTTCCGCGACGCTTCCTCGGGGACCGAGTTTGTGGTCCACGAAGGAAAACGCCCGGCCGTCCGGGGCGGTGCTGCTCCACATGTACCTCGAGGCTAGGACACAGTGGGAGGCCTGGTCCGCCCAGATGGCGGCGGCCATCGGGGCGATCCCGCCTCCGTCTCCTTCGGCATCGGCCCTGCCTGCCTTGCCGCTGCCGCCGGTTGCCGTACAACGACAAGCTCCTCGATGGCAAGCCCAGGTCCTTCCCCACGAGACGCCTGGCAGGGGCGGACGCGGTACTCGCCAGGATCTACCGCGAGCACACCGTCTCTAAGTCCTACACGCCGCTCCTGCTGGGCGAGATTTTGGCCGCCAGGACCTGGACATCCGGGGAGGAGCTAAATCGCCTGGCGGTTCCCCAGCTAGAAGGAGGCCGGATCCCTCCACATCGTCGGGGGAAGCCTCGTTGCCGCGGACGACAAGCGGCCGTGGGAGCCTCGCGGCGTCATGTCCGTCTTGGACGGGCTGGAGGCGGTGCGCCTGGCCTGGATCCTGACCACAGTCAGGGCCCGCACGGCCCACGTGGA